CTAGTATTACATATTTCTTTCCATAAACTAATAAATAATTACAAAATTTATCATTAACATGATCTATTAAAACATTTAGTTGCTTTTTACTTAAGATACATCCATTAGACACACATTTACATAACAAATTCAAAAAATTTTCTAAACATTTAGTTCTTAAACGTGAAATCAATCCAGAATCAATAACAAAAGTCAATATTATATTTATAACGAATAAATCTACCTTTTCATCACGCACTATATCTACAAGAATGTTCAAAACACTTTCTAAAAAACTGTAATCATCCAAAGTGAACGTTTGGGTAAAATGTAACAGCCACGACAAAAGTCCAACACTTCTGACTAGTTTTTGAGCTCCAAAGTTTATTTTACAAGCAGACTCTATCACATTTAGCACATGTAGTCTAACATTTTTTCTAGAAACACAACTGTTGCAAAGTTCCATGATTAATTTGAATGCCATAGACTTTAAAGCAATTGAAAAATCCAACTTCGTCTTCATACCAGTCTTTAGCAATTTTAAAATAAAAATTTGGTGTTCTTCAAAGCCAACACTGGAGTCGTGAAGCCATGTATACAACTCGGGAATTCCGCAGAGATTAGGAGTCTCTTTAGCAGTTAAATATGAAGATGAAGATAAATAAAGGGGGTGCAAGGGCATGGTTAAAATTTGGGCCATTTTAGCCCAGAATATTGCAGCAAAACTGTTTAATTTAATGTTATTGAAAGCTGCAGCGCCTTTGCAAAGCGCTTCGACATATCTTAACCATAAAATTTTGTCTCTATTATCTGGTTTGGCTTCCAAGTGGGTATAAAATAGGTACAAAACGTAGCAACTTGCAAAACGGGTCTCTCTAACTTTACTACATAGTGCCAAAACTGTTAAGCTTAAGGCGCCACTTCTAGTAAACTTATACGTAGGAACTACGTTCTCAGGAGCCAGTAACGAACTAAATAAGGGCAGCAAAAACGCCAAATTGTAAACATTAGGGTTTTCAATTTCCTCAGAAATATTTTCAATGGTTTGGTTTAAATCAGTGTAAACAGAAAAATATTCTATTGTATCATTGACTACCTTTTCTTCCAGTAAATCTAAAACATCTCCCACCTTGGGTTGTCTCCAAAGAGCATTTTGAAGATTTTGACGTATTGAATAATGTGATGCAGCAGCTGAACCAAACAAAAATGGCTTGTAAGTATAAAAATCCGACTTGTCAGAATGAGTTTCGTACCTAAAAGGTATTAAAAAAAATACAATGAAACAGTCGAACACTTTTTCTGTAAAAATCCCCTTAATATGAGTCTGAAATACTTACAACTTTAACAGGTGAAGTATTATCATGTCCGATCTTCTACATGTAGCATGATAAGCTGACAGGATAACTGGCAAATGATTTTTTTGTATTAATTGAGGCCACTTGTTGCAACAGTAAAAAATTAAATGAAGCAATTCTGCTTTAGTTTTTTCCTCATTGCCAAGTAAAGTATTTAAAAATTCGGAATGAGCTGTCGTCATGTCGAAAATAACACTTGCATTATTTTCATCAAAAATCCCAAGTACAATAAATGTATTCAAATTATTTAAAAGAAAATGATTGTTTGCAATGCCATGTTTCAAACAAAATTTGCAATATTGTTTAAAAGACTCATTCTCAGCAATATCTTTAAGATCGAATTCGTTTTCCTTTAGTTTTATTAAATTATTGTTAAAAATGCTTATCATTTCTTCTAATTTGTTCCATGAATCATCTTCTGGAATTTTGTTCTTAATAAAATTGTTCAATAAATGTACAGAAGTCATGATATAATTAAATACTCTGATAGAACTAAGCGCATTATTCTCAATTAGTTTAGTAAAAAGTACAGATATAATTTTGTAAAAGAATTTTTCTGAAATACTGAACTTTTTAACTTTATCAAAATACNAACAAAAATATATTTAGTATCAGCATTACACCTGTGCGAAGCTGGGGCGGGTCGCCAGTGTTATATATAAAAGAAATTATGAGTGCTGTTAGCACAGGGCAAAGTGGTATTACGTAGTTAATATCAGCAATTTCTTATGCTGAAGTGTACGATGTGTTGCATACCTATTTACAAACAATTCCTTTAAATTTAATTTTTCAAACAATTTTTAACACAAAGAAAATTGGAGTTATTACATCACAAAAGTGCGGTGCACTCGACCTACAGCTTCTACAAACTCCTTCCTTTAAAATTCCTTCTCGTACACCTTGTTATTTGTAGAAATGGGAATACCTACAAGTTGGATTTTGTCATGGTCCTCTTTAAAATTTATAGATACGTTTATAGCTTTTGCATTGCCATTTGTATTTTAAATGTTTGCCTATAAAAGACAAGAAAAGCAAATCGGTAAAACATCAAGATCAATGTCGCAAAAAATCCTCGATTGTGTACTGAATGGCATATTACATTTTACTCTAGCGGCTGTAAAACGCGCCGTTTGAGTAGCAAACAGTACATTCGGAGAGGAAAACGATATCCACAACTTTCTTTTGATGAGCTGACAGAAAAATATTTACTACCAGTTTCATTCTTATTTATTAAATATTTTGCAAAAAAATATCTGTCCAAAAAGATATAAGTATCTTAAATATATTTGATATTATTCCCTCTTCATTATATTTTATCTTTTCTTGTTATAAACGTCTTTAAAAGTTTTAATTTGATACCTACTCAATTAAAACTGAAAGAAGGGAGATTTACCCTCCATCTGTAAAGATGAAATGGAGCCCTTATTAATCGCGCCCTTCATTTACTAAAAACAACTAACCGCTATGAATAGCGTCATCAATTTAAACTTAATCTCAACATTAGAAAGCATTACTTCGTGGTCCAAACTCCTATTTACTGTTGAGCTTATTCTACAAAGGTCCCATCAAAATTTTTAGACAAAATAATTCATGCTTTATTTGCAATGGGGTCCTCCCTATTTCTGTGTCATATTTTACGGTCCATTGGTGTTTATTGTTTGGAAGTATTTTAAATAGGCCTCTTTAATCAAAATGATAAACGACTTAAAAGACTGAATAGTTTCATTAAACTAACCTCTGGAATCTACGATTTAGATCATCTATGCTAAGAAAAAAAAATATGATGAGTCCAAATTAAATGACGTTACCTTTCAGGATATTTTTCTTTCCAGATAGAACAACACCCATATCCCGTCTGCCGGAAGATGAAGATTCATTTCCTGTCCTATGCGATCGAGAATTGCATTCGTTGCACAGAAATATCCCGGCGTTGCGACGAAGGGATGTAGACACTGCCACCATAAAACAACACTACTATCCCGAAGGTAAGGCATTGCATATTGCTCTTATTGATACTCCCTTTTATGATCGTCGATAAAAAGTTACGGTCCAAGACGTGCGCCATTTACAAACAGATTTTTAAAGGACTAACGTTCTAAAGATGAAATTCTCAGTTTAATAGCAGGCCTTTATGAAAGTCATCAAATCAAGCAACAAAGTCAGCTTTGCAACATACGTACTGTAATAATTATTGAGACTACATGCGCCCTTAAGGTCATTGTGATGAATGAGAAATAAAATGAAAACTAATAATCTTTTTGGATCTCATCAGCATACAAATGGACCTTGTTGGAGCATACGTAATCCTAAAATGTAGCATCGTACTACAGATGGCGTTTACCGCGCCATTTGTGGTATTTTCTAATAATACATACGTACCAATTGCTTCCAAAAGATTAGATTCGCTACTTATTTTTGAAGAAAATCTACAATTTCATCAGTCTTTTTACAACAAAGAAGTGACTAGGCAAATTTTGAATGTTGACATTAATACCATCTGTTTCGATTGAAAAGATGTACGACATGTAGAAAATTTTGATTGTTTCTCAATACAATCTTCCATCTATTAAAGAGTTAGGCTCAGTAATACTTAAAAAGATAATATTTTTAGGAGGATGGGGATGGTTAGTTTGTGGTGCTGCCTTTTTGGCTTACCTACTTACATCAGGTTTTCAACTAGCTTTTGGCCTTCTATACCTTTATGTGATAAAGTTCCTTATCAAAGAACATATGAATAAACAATTTTATTCTATGGCAACAGGTATGTCCTCTTTATCATTACTAATATACGTACCTAATGCATGGTTTTCAATTTCTTAAAAAAAATTTTTTATTGTTTCCTAGTTTAACTGTTTCAATCATCAATAAAGAATTTGTTATTAATTTTATCCAACTTCAATTGCTAAAGGAGGCATTTAAAAGAGAGAATTTTAAATATGTAAATGTCTTTAATTTTCAAATACAAAAAAAATATAATATATATATATACGAAATATGTATGTGTACATTGTATATAGTAAATCAGCATCAATTATCGTGTATGAAAGTATAGCCCGCGATAACGTTTTGATAAAATGAATTTGGATCTCTGTAATATTCGGTCTTAGGTCCAAGAAATGTGCTTATCCCCCCCAGAGAAGACACGTCTGATAATGCTTTCTCAGGAGATCGTCTTCTAGGACTTGTAAGGCTTCCTACATCTTTGTCAAGAGATTCGGCTTCATTTTTGAACAAGTTGTCCAAGCTCAACTGGCTCAACTCCTCTCTATGAGTTTGCAATTTATTTTTGATTTGTCGTTGATCTTCAGTTCGCAATTCGTGGATTTCTCTGACTGCGTTCTTCCATTGCTCCTTGAAATAGTTTTTGGTCTTTTGAGCTTCTTCGAATTTCTCTTCTAAACCTCTAAGATCTTGTAGCAGGTATGTGGTTTGTTCTTTCGTCAACGCGGTTTTTTTAATTTGTTCTATTTCACTTTGCTGTTCATCGACTAGTTCTTTGAGAGCAAGATTTTGCTGTTCCAATTTAAATACCGTTTGGATTAAATCTTTACGATCATGAGAACTGAACCTTTCTATTTCTGTCTGTATATTTGTAGACATTATTCGTTCGTTTTGTCTTTTTACTATTTGATCTTTTAGTTTCATTTTAGTTACTGCTGCTTGAAGCTCTTTCTTTAACACTTTAATTTTTGCGACATTCTTGGTTAGCTTCTCTTCCAATTCATTCTTTCTTCCTATCCAGTCTTCCTGGAGAACTGAAATGTGCTTATTCTGAAGTACCTTAAGTTCTGTTAAAAATTTAGCCTTTTCTTCTTCTTTCCATTTGTCCAACTCTTCCAATTCCTTTACTGCTACTTTCTCATCCAACACTGCTGGCTGTAGTTCACCCTCCTTATCTTTTGCGGAGAAAGTTAAAGATTGTTCTTGTAAATACAATGTAATAAACAACTTTGCAATCACATCAAAACTTTTTATAGACTTCAGGTCTGCTTGATAAGAACATTCTTTACGATCTCTTGACAAAAATGCTACTGTGTACACGTCAACTTCCTCGCTTACTGGATTATCGGTTTCGTCAATTAATACTATTTTTGCTGGCCAAGAGTACAGTAATTTTTTAATTTCTTCTGATGTAGAAATGTAATACAGTCTACAGCGAGCACCTTCTAAAGTAGTATCTTCCGAAGAGTCACTTACGGAAGGACTAATAATGTAGAAGGAATTTGCTTTAGGGTGTTTGAATTTTATGGAGAATTGGGTAGTTTTAGGGGGCGTCCTCCAATAGATTTTGTCCAATGCTATGTCGAGACTGAACTTTTGGTATTTGTCTTTTATTACCATACAAGAATCTAGTACGGGAGTTAGTAACGCAAGTCCAGGCACGTTTTCAAGAAATGAACCTTCTGACCTTGTAGTGATACAGTCTTCTCTAGATTCTGTAAGTTCTTGCACGGAAGCTGATTTTTTATCCGTTTGACGTGCATGTAACACTTCTATTTCTAACGTCTTTTTCGCGGAATCGCAGCGTTCACCACCAGCACTGTGTATGGGTGATCCTAAGGGATTAGGTGATTTTTCTTGAGCTTCATTTGCTCCTTCTATTGTTGTTGGTGATTGAGGACTACTCTGAGCTGATGTGTATTCGACTTTTTCATCTTGCACGACGTCGTCACCACTTCCAAATCCGTATAAGTTTTGAGTTCCATTCTCACATCCGTGAATTTTATTCAATAAATGAGAGGGAAGCTCTCTACATTCTAGAGTTGTTTCAACTTCAATTGATGGTTTTCGTCCTTTAGCACCTACGGGAACTATTCCATGAGGGGACGGATATTTAAAACGACAATTTTCTGACACAGTGTAAATTTTCAGCTCTTCTTTACTTGAAAACAAGTTCTGTACGTTAATCTTTGTCATTCCCAACTTATCCCTTCCACAATAGAATCGCACCAGAACCTCACAGTGCTCCTCAAAAAAGGCCCTCAAGACTTCGTAGCTTGATAATAAACTGATGACTACTTTTTCATTTAGTACGAAACTTTGGTGTAATTCCTTCCAAAATGGTTTCGTTTTAATCACAATTCCAAACATACTAAATGATAAGTAATATTTTTCCCTGTTATTCGTGAAAACTAAAACTTCAGGCAGGAGGAGATCCAAATTTGTTGCATTTTTTATGCTAATGCTTAAGTAGAATGATCTTGTGATTTGATTATCTTCTCCAACTTGGATGAATCCATCTTCGAAGTATTTGACTGGAAAAACAGGAGCAATTTTTTCAGCTTGTTCTTCGCCACTTGATTCGTTTTCTTCTTCTATAACTTGCGCTGACACAGACGATCCCGTCTGCTCTTGAACTTCAGGAACATGGTCTCGTATAGTTAACGATATAAAAAGTTCAGGATGACTGCTCTTGAATTCCGGAGGTACTCCCAAAAGCTTATGCCATTTGAAATGTGAAGTCCCTGCTGATTGTTTCGTAAGAACTATAGCACTTCTAGGATTTAGAAGTAAATAGCCTATCCTAACTTTTCGATTGTTAGCGTCAAAAGTTCGAACATCGACGCGTAAAGGTGTGTTGGCACTTCGAATTTTACGAAGATCCTTTTTTTCGGTTTCCCAAACGAGCTCCGTGTTGAACAATGGACACTCTTCAGGTTCTACGTAGTCAGATTCGAGAATTCTTCCATTGAAATTCGTCACGATTTGGACGTGGTTTTTGAGGAAGTCCATTCCTCGTCCTTCCTCCACTGAAAGTACCACATTCACGTATTTGCCGTTTATTTCATTCATACTTGTAATACCGTTATATGGACTATCGAATTATTGTAAAAAATACTGAAAATTACTGCATGTCAAAAACAAAATTATTTGACACTTGATGTCGTTAACTTTTAATTTTTTTTTTCATTCGACCAACGCAGATACAACGATCATGTTTTTTAGCCTGGATGGGTGCTATGTGTTTAAGCATTTCGTTCCTGATAGCACCCTTCGTGGTTGCCGTATCCAGAAGAAAATCGACGAGATTAGCGGCCGTAATGGGAGGTCTATTGATGGCCTTGGCCTGCCTATTTACTTCTTTCGCGGTGCAGTTCCATCAGGCTCTTTTAAGTTATGGCGTCGTATTAGGTGCAGGGGCTGGAATTGTTAGGGAAACGTCAGGATTAGTTTTAGGACACTATTTTAAGAAACGAAGAGAATTTGTGGAGATGGTTGCCCAATCGGGAACAGGAGTGGGAATGGCCTTATTCTCCGTACTGTACAAAGAGGCTGTCGGGTAAGTACATACATTAATATCATGAAAATAATTTGTCGTCGATGAAATTTTGTTTTTTTCAGGTGACATACTGATATATATATATATTTGTTTTGAAAATTTCAGAAAATTAGGATGGAGACTAGGGCTTCATTCGGTTACGGGACTTTTAGCGTTAGCCTTCTTCCTACCTATTGTTTATCGCTCTGCGAATTTGTATCATCCACAACGAAGGGCAATAATGCATCTCAAAAACCAAAGAAAGAAAATGAAAGAGAAAAAAACTCACGCCAAAGGAAAGAAACCGGCAATGTTCGATTTTACCCCGCTTAAGAGTAGGGGACTTCGAGTTCTTTTGGTTGCTAGTGCTACAGGATCTTTAGGGGTTTATAGTCCAATTTTTTATTTGGTACGGGCGATATAAACAAAACTACCCGCTTATTGATGTCGATAAGAAGTGGTATATTTATTTTTAGGCTTTGCAAGGCCACGACGAAGGATTGGAAGACAGTGCCCTAGTCTTGTTGCAGACATTTCTAGGGTTCGCAACAGCTTTAGGATTTGTAGGTTTCGGACTCATAATCGTTCGACCAAACACTCAGTGTCTTATATCGCGACAGTATCTGTGTCAAACGTCGCTAATTGGCATAGGTCTGTACCCAAAAAAAAATAAAGACTCTTCCAAAACAAGACTAACTTTCTCATTTTTTAAAGGTATTTCTCTTCTGGCCCTAAGCGCTGTTCAGGGCTATCACGGTTACGTATTATTTGTATGGTTGTATGGCGTTTGTCTTGGAGGCTTCGATTACTCCCTTAAAATGTTTACATTGGAACGAATTCGTACACGTCACTTTACCAAAGCTTGGAGCTTCGTTCAAGGCGCCAAATCCGTGCCTGTGCTCATCGGGATTCCGATAACGGGTTACATGAACCAAATACATCCCAAAGCTGGTTACTATTTCAGCTTCGGTACAACTCTAGTCAGTGCAAGTCTCATGTTCTTGGTAGGTCATCGTAAGGACTCTAGCAATGGAAACTACAGTTTCAGCCCAAAAATGAACGAGTGCATTTGCAATTTGAACAACCACTACATCACAGAGGTAATGGTTTTCTTTCGTTTATATTAACAATCAGTATTTCTAGTAATTTTTCACAGGTGCCCTATAATGTATATAGACCACCGCCACTCAACCAGTACGAACAGTTCCTCCCCAGTTACGATCATTTGGACAGAAGCAGTTTTTGTAGACATTCGTCCATGAAGCATCGATACGATCGACCAGTAGTTCGACATTGTTTACCAAAGAGCCAAAGCTACGTGGCCAATATACACCATTCAGCTCATCCCAGTATGATTTGCCTGAACAGAAGCCCGGGAGTTACGTATCCCCACAAGTATTCGCATGGAAATTTGAGAGCCACCAGAAGTGTTCCTGAGGGATTAGCGAGATGGAGCCATTATGGATCTTGTCGTAGACCTATTATACGGGATGTTCATGTTATAGAACAAATTACTACTTCTGTTTAGGTGATTATTCTGATATGTTCTTAACCATTCGTATTCATATAGTTACACAGCTTTCTTGTTAAAAATCTGTCATTCTTAAGAAACCAATTAAACAGGTTTTATACATCAGGTAAATTTTAACACTCATTTTTTTGAAAATTTATTACAACTCTTTAAAATAAATAATGTATCAAGTGGTCAGCTAAAATTAAATTTATAAATTAATACTTATGTGTTAATTATCCCTATTAATTCTTTTCTTTTGCTGTTTATTAAAGAGTTTGATAACTGCCAGAAACCTCTGCCATTTTTTGGTACCCATACGAGAAAAGGAGATCCGTACTTTTTGAGCTTTGCATGCTTATTTACTTAGCTTTCTATCTACATTGAAATGGGTAAGTTGCTTGCATCTATTTCTTTTTTTTTTTGTTATTAATTTATACACATTAAAAGTGGCTGGCCACTTCGGAAAACGCCATAAAAATTGGGGGACAAAAACTGTACACGTAGGCACGAGTTGAAGATTTTCAAAGAAATGAGAAAGTATTAATTTTTTATTTTATCATTAACGAAAAGTCGATAGACCAAAGAATTATTTATTAGGTTTCAAATATCATTTTAAGTTACTGATTTCTAATTTTCTGCTCAGGGATTGTNAAAAGTGTAAACTATGTATACAGTAGAACCTCGATAAGATAAAGACCAAGGGAAACGTAAAATAATTTGAGTTATTGAGGTTTTTACTTACTAAGGGTTTAAGTTTAAGCTTTAAAATTATGGATTTCCTGTGACGCGGATCGCAATTTCGATATTTTTGAATCTTATCAGCGCGTCGCAGGCAGCTCCGATAGAAAACAGACCAACTTTTACCTGCTGTCTTAACAGTAAATTTTAGAAAATACTACAATTGGCGCGGTAAACGCCATCTGTAGCACGATGCTCCATTTTAGGATTACGTATGCTCCAACAAGGTCCACATGTGTGGATATCTACTTGCTGAGTAAGTTGGTCTGTGTTCTGTCGGAGCTGCCTGCGTCGCGCTGATGAGATCCAAAAAGATCGAAATCGCTATCCGCGTGTGGCAGTTTCGACAGAATACAGACCACTTCGAATTATTTTATTCGATTAAGCTAACGTGCCTATCACGTTGAGGTTGGCTACGCAGGGATTCGTTTTCTGCAAGTAGATATCCACACAAGTGGACTTTGTNCTCCAATGAATATCCTAGCAAATGGTACAGTAGGGATAACTGATTGTTACCTTCAGATACTAAAAAATTTTCGTCCACTTCCAAACATCTTTTAAGAATAACTTTACAATCTTCTTCGTTCAAGCCAAAAATTATGATTGTGTCCAAAAGATTTCCGTACTTTTCAGAACCTAATTTTTTAGGTTTTTCAAACGCTTTTTCTAAACAAACCAATACTTTACGCCTGTAAGGTTTTAATAGAGTTTCTAAAAAACCCTTATCCATATGTTCAATGTTAATTACTTCATGTTTAAATATTTTTACATTCTCGTAAATAAAATTGGTGCAAATTTGCTTTGACACTGTTTTAATTGCTTTCAAAGGTGAAAAATATTTTAAAAGCAACGGATTATAAAAAATTGTTTCCATAACTGTTTTCAAAAAACTTTTTCTATGCCCTTCATCTTCTAAAAATAACTTGATTAATTCTAGCGTTCTATTAACGTAATTAGTGTCCAAAATTTCCAACTTTGCAAAATTAGATACATAAAATATGCACATATTTAAAAGAAAAAAATTAAGACTAGGAAATGAATCAGATTTTAAAATGTTTTTATAATTTTCTTCTGTTGTCCAGAAGTTTTGTAAAATTTTAAGAGTACCCTTGGCTTTTTCTGGAATTTGAATATCTATTTTTCCTTGCCAGCCATTAAAATATTTTAAAACTATTTTGGGAACAACTTTTGTATATTTTTCCTGGAGTAAAATTGCTATCAGATTAGAAGGGGTCGTTTGGAGATGCAGTAAATTAATTAAAGTGTAATTTAAATAATTTTTTAAAGACTTCAACTCATTTTTGTCACTTATCTCTACCAAATAATTTAATACACTGCGAATTAAAGGACTTAGCCTTTTATGACTTAAATAAATTAAAGTTGTAATTTCTTTTCCTCTTTTCAATGCATCCAAAATTGATGATATATCATTTTTATTATATAATTCAACATCATCATCATCTGGATCAAGTTCATTTATGTCTTCTAATAAATAATTATGAACATTTTCCCCAATGTCTTTCAGTGACTGTGCTAACATATTTCCTACACAAATTTCAAAAGTTTCGCCATAGAAAATACTATCAATCCAAACTCTTACCTCGTCTCTGTTGTCTCCTAATATATCTATTAATAAAAATATTCGTTCCAAAATTTCGTAAATACTTTTATCTTTAGTATTACGATAATGAACAATTAAAGATGGGAAAATAGTATGAAAAATTCTACCTGAAGTGTTGAATAATGTTTCGTCAATATTCAAAAATGTTCTGATTAATTTAATTTCTAAAGTTTGTATTAAATCTTTGGCGTCATCAGAAACGTTTTCTTTATTTTTTATAGACTCCAGTCGTTCATAAAAATCATTTAAATTAAAATTTGAGCCAGTTACTTGAAACAAAGCCTCTAAATGTTGGGGGCACAAATTTTCGTAAAATTCGAAAATATCGAATACAACTTTTAACACTTCCAATTTTTCCATTTCATTTAGTTCTTCAAATGACATATTTAAGTCTTTAAAAAAAATACTAACGTTCGGGAAATTTCGATAAATATAATTGCTGAGTGAGTCTTTAAAAGTTAAAAACTCTTTTTCAATAAAATGATTTTGAAAATGATCTATATATGATTTGATTGCTTGCAGGGACTTGGAAATAAAAACATAAACGTGATATTTTGTAGATTGAGAAGCAAATTCACAGTTCTCAGGAATTAAAACTTTTAAGACTGCCAAAGGAGCAACAAGCACTTGAATAATTTGAATACGCTAAAACAAATCAGCATAATTACTATAGTTGCCACAAAATCAAATGTAAAAAAGAATAAATTAATATATGGTTTTGTTAAAACTAATTGATATTTAACTGATAATTAAAAAGTAGATTTTCTTACTTGTGTGAGTGATAACTCATCAAAACAGTATTCAATACAGTTTGGACTTAATTCAGTTAATAAACAGGTGGCAAATTTAATTGCTTTCCGCCAGTTTTCAGAGTCTCTAGGCTCCAAAGCATCTTTAAGCTTGTTCCAAACTGTTTTAACTAAATCTGGACATGATTTGCAAATTCTTAATAACAAATCACTGGCATATGAATGCTCCCAGGCCTTTTCTAGCTTGTCTAAGACTGAAAATACCAAGTTATTTGAGCCTGTTTTCCCAAGTCCAACGGTATGGTCACTGAATATTACTCCAAATCTATGCGAAGTGCAGAGAGTTAAAAGAAATCCATGGACAGTTTCACTAACTTTTGATTTATCGTATTCATTAATCTAAAAGAGTATGATTATACATAAAGATCACAATGATAAATAAATCCATTTCACACCTCAACACTTTTATTAAACTTTTGTTTCCTTTTTTTGTTTGTAAAGTTTGCTGGTCCCTTCCAATTGTACAAGTTAACTATTTCAGCAATGACTGGGGTATTAAATAACTTCATTTTCATGGTTTTTGAAACCATTGGGTTTTCGAGGACATATTCTTTCAATGCAGACAAAATTATACATACAACGTCTGCCTCATCATAAATAAGCCCATCTACAATAACTGGAAGAACTCCTTTTTTATCTAATAAAAGTGAAATTGTTGGAAAGTGACCCTCTAGCAGAAAAGCCACTACAAACTTTATAAAAGCGCTCCTAACACTGTCCTTTTCTCCTGTCTGTTTTGAAAGCACTTGCAAATTTCCCACGTTAAAATTAATATTTTGTAATATTTCTCTTCCCAAAGAATTAGAAAATGTGACAAATGTTGCCAAAAGCTTTAGAATGCTTTTCCTTTCTTCTGTGATTGATCCAAAACTCAACATTTTGTTTATTAAAGGAAAATTTGTGCTCAGGAGAAACTTGCAAGCTTCTAAATTTTGACTATGCAACGTTGGATGATTTGAAATTATCTGGAGAAGTATATGGTTCACCAAATTGAAAATGACACAGTGAGAACTTTCAAGATCACTATCTAGTAATTGTAACAGTTCTAAACAATTGCCCCCTTTATCTAGATACTCCTTTATAGCAAANGATTCGTTTTCAGCAAGTAGATATCCACACAAGTGGACTTTGTTGGAGCATACGTAATCCTAAAATGTAGCATCGTGCTACAGATGGCGTTTACTGCGCCATTTGTAGTATTTTCTTCAGCTTTTTCGTTTAGTATAGGTTCACTAACACTAATGTTTTTACATATTTCTGCACTGTCTAAATCATGTAAAGAAGCAAATTTCTAAATTAGGAAATTAAGCAATTTTTCGTCTTTTACATAGAAGACTTTCTCCCGATTCAAACCACTTTTCACTGCTTACTGAGGTGCGATGCCCAAATCATTCGTTTAAGTTATAGAGGGATTTTATTTTAAGTAATAGAGGTTTTGAACTCCAAGGGGAAAGGATTACAAAATTTTATGAATTTATAGAGGTTATTACGTTATCGAGGTTTAAGTTAACGAGGTTCTACTGTATTACGTTAGGGTTAAATTTAACCCAGGTTAGGGACTATATTCCTCTAATTGTAAGTCCAACGGTTAAGGCATCTTTCATTGGAGTGAAATGTATTTACATTTTGAGCGTTCCAGTTGATGATGAAATTACTAAGGCTAGAGGAGTATAATAATCTAAATCAAAATCACGATACGTCTTAATTAATTAACACCAGCCTCATCTGACACCGACTCTATGTGTGTGTAACTGCGTTATAACTTTAGTGGAAGTAAATTTCAAATATTCAGAACGTTATGTTTAATACGGCGAAGTTTATGGTCGAAGTAGAACTAGGACAATGTCGTCCAAATTGTAAAGACAAGTGGCGGCAGTGTTGGAAATATATTCTCCCTTAATTAAATCGTTTACTATTGAGTTACTACCCTTTATGACGACTTCTAGACATATATGTAACAGTCATCTCAAATTTTTATCGCCTACTTTAGTTTTATAACTTTCCACACTTGAAGACACTTCTTCTTACTTTTAAATTTTCTTTATTTATTTTTCCTCAATGTTTATTTTTGGATATGTCGTTATTATTAAACATTATCAGTTAAACATTTTGTGCTTTTATTTTAATTTTAATCCACATTGATATTCAGGACAATAGTCTGTCTTGTGTCTTGTCTAACTTAATATCGATTATTAGTATGGTAGTTATCAGTATTGATGGTAATATATTAAAATTAGTTATTAACAATTTTCTAAGATAAAGAAATTACCTAACTCTAAATCCGTAAAATGAGAAACAGATTTTGAATTGAACTGTAGCGATTTTATTTGCCCCTTTTTGCTTCGTAAGATTGATGAGGCAAATACATCTGGAAATGACCGTGTAATTACGGTGAATGTCATCGTAATTTATAGCATCCATTGAAGAAAACCATTTAAATATCAGAGCAACCGTAGAACATGACTTAATTAACCATAATTTCCAAGCAACGGAATTGGAACTGATAAAAAAACACCGTAAATGTTCCTTCAGAAAGAAGCAACACAGTATTTTCCTATCAATTTATTTCTTTTTTAGAACCGTACGCACATGCTTTGCACCATTCATGTCCCAATTAAGTACCTTAATGGTAGTCGTACCTAGTCGTTGCCGACATAATTTATTTGACGCGTTTGAATTGTTTGCATGACCAGAATCTTGAAAAGGATGCATAGAAAAGAATGAATATTATATATAAAAGAAATTATGAGTGCTGTTAGCACAGGGCAAAGTNTTTTGACTATGCAACGTTGGATGATTTGAAATTATCTGGAGAAGTATATGGTTCACCAAATTGAAAATGACACAGTGAGAACTTTCAAGATCACTATCTAGTAATTGTAACAGTTCTAAACAATTGCCCCCTTTATCTAGATACTCCTTTATAGCAAACTCTCCGTTCTCTTTAGAGCAAATGTTCAAAAAATTAACCAAAGCTAAAAAAACACTGAATTAGTCACTAAATAAAACTAATGAATAGCATTTAAGTAATATATAATAATAAATTAAGATAACAAATTTACCTTCTTTACGTTCAGCAGTTTTTAATTTAGTACGAAACTCTTTTGCAGAAAATAACCTGGCTTTTTTGTTATTAGGGCTTTTTTGTACATTTTGAGCTTCTAGATTGCTTGCAGTATCATCACCTTCACTTTGCCCTGTGGTCCTCTTCTTAGGTTCCATGTTTTATAGGATTTTTCAAAAAGAATAGTAAATTAAAATCAAATTTTTAAACATAACCAAAACATCAAAACAAACAGCACATGTTTTATTGATTAATTCCAATATTTTTTGTTAGATGGCGCTACCCGTTACGAATTGAAAAGAGGGAATTTAAAAAACTTTTAAAAAGGGATGTAATTAAAACTTGCCCATCCGAAATTAATTGGGAATAATATTATTATGAATTTTCGTCCACTTCCAAACATCTTTTAAGAATAACTTTACAATCTTCTTCGTTCAAGCCAAAAATTATGATTGTGTCCAAAAGATTTCCGTACTTTTCAGAACCTAATTTTTTAGGTTTTTCAAACGCTTTTTCTAAACAAACCAATACTTTACGCCTGTAAGGTTTTAATAGAGTTTCTAAAAAACCCTTATCCATATGTTCAATGTTAATTACTTCATGTTTAAATATTTTTACATTCTGGTAAATAAAATTGGTGCAAATTTGCTTTGACACTGTTTTAATTGCTTTCAAAGGTGAAAAATATTTTAAAAGCAACGGATTATAAAAAATTGTTTCCATAACTGTTTTCAAAAAACTTTTTCTATGCCCTTCATCTTCTAAAAATAACTTGATTAATTCTAGCGTTCTATTAACGTAATTAGTGTCCANATACACATTAAAAGTGGCTGGCCACTTCGGAAAACGCCATAAAAATTGGGGGACAAAAACTGTACACGTAGGCACGAGTTGAAGATTTTCAAAGAAATGAGAAAGTATTAATTTTTTATTTTATCATTAACGAAAAGTCGATAGACCAAAGAATTATTTATTAGGTTTCAAATATCATTTTAAGTTACTGATTTCTAATTTTCTGCTCAGGGATTGTATTTAATGTAATAAAAATATTATACAATAACCAATTCCAATGCACAATTGTACCTTTTTTTAAATACTGTATTATTTATAAATATTTATTTACAGTGATGTATACTATATATTACTCTCATTTGATATTCAAATGAAATGAAGTAACAATATAAATTTCAATTTTGATTTTTTTTTATTGTCAACCATGTTTATTTTACTTATTTAATAATCGAACAGCATTTCCCTTAATTCAACACCCTGTATCTATTTGTACATACATCATTCTTTTATATAAAATGCAATTAGCACGTTACAAAGTTGAATTTTTAAAAAAATGTTGACAAGACTTGTGCATAAATAAAAATAAGCGATAATTATTATTGTACAATTAATGTTCAATATTAAATTTACTAACAGTTTGCATATTATTGAGGGAACAATTTTTTGTAATTAAAACTATTATATCTCCTGTTACTACTACCAAATAATCGAATTTAGTCAAAAAATTACATAGGAATTTGGAATTGTAAATTTTAAAGCTACAAATATGATAAGTAGTTAACAAAAATAATAAAATATTCTTTAAATTGCTTAAGATTTACTTACCTTTGCATAAACACCACTAAGAACTGTGCACACCAATAGAAAAGTTTTTCTCATTACATTACGTATTTATCTACAAAGGTCCCATCAAAATTTTTAGACAAAATAATTCATGCTTTATTTGCAATGGGGTCCTCCCTATTTCTGTGTCATTAACATCTCTGTAAGCTAATCATTCTCCTCATGTCCGCGTTCAGTAAACATGGAGCCATTTTCCGACTTAACTCAAACTGTGTACTGGCCTCGCTAAACTCAAAATGCAACGTTTAATAGAGAAGTTTGAATCCTGAAACCCTGGAGCTAATCCTTGAAGTAGCAGTAGGTACCAGTACCTACCTGCCATTACGATTACCTACGTTTGTTTTATTTTATACACGACTTCCTGTAGTTTACCTTTTACTCACATAGAATGAAATGGGTAGAGTTAATTTAAAACAGTCTCGGAGCCTGGTGGACAAAACTTTTAAATTATAATGAGTTTTAATGTGTTTCGCTAATGGAAAGACGAACTAAAAGAACCATCTATGGAATGCTGTTTCTGTAGTTTTTCTTTTTAATTTTCATCAGTTCATATGAGAAGAATATTAATCTTAGACTTGCTTCTAATAGATACGAAGCAAATAGTTTAATAATAACTGCAAAAGCAATTGCAGTGAAAACGTCGACTCTGTAATAGAACTTCAAGATTCTCGATGTTGGGGTTTAAAATGAACTTTATTGTATTAGTAAAGGTGAAAAATGGATGACTGGTAATAAATATTTTATTCTAGTAAAAGATTTTATATTTTTATCACTTCAAAATGTCCTTAAAAGAAGCGTGACACTATTTTAGTTTTCGAAAGGCGAGACGACGTCTTAAAACATCTCCTATAAAATGAAATGGAAGCTTAAAAAAGTCATTCTTCGGAATATGACGCCACTAGCGGCAATATTCTGGTTTTATATTAATACGGGCAAAATATATGAAAATAGCACATGAATCTTTTTCATTCACACAGACAGTACAATGCTTAATAATAAAATTAATGTTTAGTACAATAATTAGGTTCAAAGAAGTTGATTTTACCATTTTATATTAATTTTTTGATGAGAATGTGGAAAGAATGTTTGATGAGTTCTTGTCTATGCCATGAAATACTTTAGTAACAGCAAATACCAATTAGATGGCGCTACGCTACCATCTGAGGCATTTACCTATTTGCTAATCTTTTGGGACTCAGTTTATACATTAACCAATTAAATAGATAAATAACATTAAGTTCTAGAAGCCATTTGTCAACATCTTATGAACTACTCCTTGGCTATATATAGTTACTTTATTTTAATCGCATGATGCAAAACGTGGTCAAAATAATTATATCATAAAACCGTAGTTCAGAATAATTGTGTGCATGATTGAAATACTTCAAAAACACTCAAACGCTAAAATGTTTATATCTTTAGTGGCATATTACATTTGTTATACGATATCGCCAAATTTTTATAACTTATAGAGAGAGTTTTGGTTGTTTTATTGTATTCAGTAATGTATTGCTTTTGGAATTAAACAAAAAAAATGTCTAAAGTTTTGATTTAATACTTGATTTACTTCTGAATACATATAACTTCTCTTTTCTGTTCGGCAAAATACAGAGAAACGTTTCCTATTAAATAATATCCTATATCCATCTCCATTACCGTTTTGTGTGTCATCCCTAGGGCAAAATGAGATTATTCAGCTACAATTTCGAAAGGACACTAACTTTTTGTTATTCTCGGAATATTAATAAAGTATATCCAGTTTCAACCGAAATGGCTACAGTGAATGGCTGTTATTCTACCTAGATACAACTGGAAAAAGATTGTCCTTTCTCCAAATGGACATTTTCTCGAATTTACTGTGAAACATTCTCCTTTGTCGTTCATTTATAGGAATATATTCACTTATTCTAGTAACGTTTTGTATTATTTATTTGTTCAAGTGTCACCATTTAAATGATCCCAACACAATCCAAGACAAAACAATCGCATTCTAACGTAGAATTCAATCGATTTACTTCTACAGCTTTAATGCAGCTTCATTAAATGATTAAATCCATAGGCCCTCATATTTCTGTTCTGTTTCAGTTAACTTCCTGTTAACAAATATTGTCTATTCAGTTAATATTACAGAGTGACAGACGCAGATTTTGGTCCATATTATCAAGGGCAGATGTAAGTTAAACTATGCTGTAGGCCTATTTAGATTTGATACCCTGATGGTTGTTTTATAAGAGAAGTCAATTATATTTCTCACTACTGTTGATATATTATTTTATAAAAATTACACTGAATTTTGGTGTTTTAATTTAATAAGATGATGAAATAAAAACGAATTTGAAGGTTATTTGTTGGTTATGCTGAGGGTAGCACAGACTGGAAGAGGTAGATGGTTTTCGTAAAAGATCCGTTCAAATCGAAAGAACAAATAGAGTAGGAAGAAGGAAACGTGTAGATCTTTTTTGATTGGAAATTGTGGGGGAAGAGAAGACTACTGCAGAGAAACAGAAAATGGAAAGATTGAAGGAAAGGTATTAACTTTAAGTCCCTCATCAAATTTCGGGATCATCGCGAACTGAAATCTGTATTCGTCACTGACCGTAATACATTTCCTACGATCTTTCAGTTTTTTTAATTAATTTAAAAAATGTAAAACATTGTAGATATGTGACGGTAGTTTATCATCCGTCTTCATTTACAATGAGAAGAGCATTCATGCTGCGAATAAAACTGCATGCAAGCGTGTCATAAATTTTCTGAATCCATCTCTGCTACCGGACCTGAATACGAACTAAAAATATTCAAGTTTTTTAGTGAATGGCGAGGGCTACAAACGATTGCAGCGCATAGCAATTTCGTATCGTCTACCATACAATCAATCTTGCTGAATAAAAGAATTATTTTCATATCTCTAGAGTCCGCCTATTGATGGATTAAAAAATTAAAATTCAAGAGGGCTAGCCTCCCTCGTTCTCTCTCTCTTCCCAAACGTCCAACTTGTCAGTTATTCCAATTTGGCCAAGTGATCTCCGCTACATCCGAGATTTACGAATTTGTTCCTCGGGAAGCTGCACCACTGCATAGGGCAATTATCTCCGCGCCCCATTTGCAAATCTCAATTAGGGCCCATTTGCATGTTCGTTTCATCGTTGTGGCCTACGGGGGCCGCTACGTGCCATCGCAAACATTGCCCCTTAATTATGGCTGTTGATACAGCAACTCATTAAATTTCTTTCCCGGATTCCGATAGATACGAATGCGGAAATGTTTTGTGAATGTAAAAAATAAAATTCCAACCGCATTTTTTCTGCATGCCATTAGCCCGTTTTAGTAATATCTGTGAAGCATTTTTTCATCACACAAATGGAAAGAGCTACTAGTTATTCAATAAAATGCGAAAAATCCATTTGGTACGCATTCGTTGTCAAAGATGGCGGAATTGAATAGAATATTAGCAAAATAACATCGTCTCCACAAAGGGTGCATACTTCGTGTATATACAAATACACAAAAACGTTTCTAAACAAGAAGGGATTATGTTCCATATGTACCAAATTATTATTATTAATTGAAGATTATGATGCTAGAGCCATACAACCCAAATGTAAATGATTTCATCATAAGGTCATCAGTCCTAAGAGTGGTTGGACACGTACCTCCACTCTTTGCTATCCTGAGCTAAACTTCGCATTTCCCTAAAACTAGAACAGCTCACATCCTTAACTATTTGCGAAGAGTAATCTAATCTAGGTCTACCTCTACCTCTCCTAACTCCTGTTTCTGCCTCTAATATGTCTCTGACTAGAC